ATGATGGTCCCCGGCAACAAGTGCTGTCACTGGCTGGAAGTGCTCACTCTGTGGTTCACAGGCACTTTTTCCATGGACCGGTCCTGTGATACAGCTTGATTTGCCATTAAGAATCTGTCTGAGAGTTGAGCAATGATAGACTGATAGGCTGTTGAGCGGCATAAGTTACATGTACCAACAAAAAGCATGATTCCCAATGGCCCTCGCTCATCCGCAGCGATGCCGGTGCACCTGTCAGGAGCCACTGATATATGCATTCCATGTAGAGATTGATCCGATTGAAGGCTGTAGCATCAGGGCTTCACAAACCAATTACCCCAAGAATCCCGTCTCATGTCCGTTTCGCAGGACCTCTACAGCGTGGGTGGAGTGTCATCGGAGAGCTGATGCTGGCAAACCCTGCATGCTTGTTAACAGATTGGGGAAGGGCATGCATCATGAGCAGGCTATTGGTGCATCCACCTTTGTGTCACACTCGCTCGGGCACGCTTACTCCGTGAGGTTTTGTGTTCGAGTGCTGTGATTATAGTATCCTACAATGCCGGGTGATCAGTCCTTAGCCTCAGCATGGGAGTCGTGTTCGGCCGTGAGAGGGCGGTTTCGCCGCGAACTGCCGTGGCTTCAGTGGCCGATCCCGGGCAAGGACGCCAAGCCAGGGCCCGCATCGTCTTCCCCAGACCCGCACTTTCCGTGCACAAGGGCTTTGGAGCTGAATGCTGCAGTGCTCACCAAGATGTTAGATGTTTTCTCGGGTGAGTTCCTGGACATTGCCTTCCTCACAAAGCAGGTCTGCTTGCTTCAATCAATCTAGAGGTTTGCTATATTTCGGATTGTTGGGTTGCCTATTGAGAAAATCTTCCTGGACTAATACGTATCGGGCACCCTTGAGGTTCAGCAGCTGTTCAAGGATGTGGGGTATGAGCCCCCAAAACATCAGAAGCAGCAAGCCAACTGGGATGCTTGGGACCTTCGTCGTTTGTGGACTTTCTTGTGGCGACGAGCAAAGGACGCCACGTCTCGTGGCCAGCATCCCCGGGACCGGAGTTTGGATAGTTACTTTGGACAGTTGAAGGTTTTCAAATGTCATTGGCAAGAGTTTCAATCGAGGTGTGATTGAGTTTGTGCCTGCAGCAGGATCCTGCGGTGGCTGAGTTGTTCAGGCGTGTGGAGGCCATCCGTGCAAACATCCAAGCACAGCAGATGGAAGTGGACGGTGATGAGGCAGACGATGCCGATCTTTATGAAGATGATGGAGGTGGTGATGATCTGCCCGCTTTGGCCGATGCTCGCGCAGAGGACGGTGGAATGGCAGCCGAGGCCGAGGAAGCCGAGGCTATGGAAGCCGAGGCTGTGGAGGCCAAGGCAGTGGAGACCAAGCCAGTGGAGACCACAGACATGGAGACCACAAACGAGGAGACCACAAAGGAGGAGACAGTGGGTGATGTGGCGATGCACCGGTACAGGTCCAAGCGCTCTATCGGCTCTATCGAGAGTGTCACCGATCTGGCGTCCCCAGGAGCTTCGACTACCTCTTCTGAGTTCGCCATTCCGACTGAGATGACCGAGGAGCAGAAGGAGGAGTTGGCTCAGGTTCTTGAGCAGATCAACCAGCTCAACCTCGAGTCCTTCGATCTGCTTATAGCTACCCATACTCCTTTCAAGTCCCATTAGCTTTCCGTCATTCAAGCATTGCCCCACTTAGGCGAAATGGACCATCTGTGCTGTCCCCAGCCTCGACAGAGTCTCCCACTCCCAGTGCGACCACACCCGTGGTTACGAATGCGGAAGTCCCAGGCCAGAATTCTACTCGGTTTGGCAAGTGTTCTCATTTGTTGTAGAGTTTTATTGTGTGTAGTTGTGGTGTAGTTGTGGTATCAACAAAGTCTGTGCGTGCACAAGTGTATGTCTATCCAAGTCTACTTTCAGGGCTGTGTTTGAGGAAATGCCTATGCAGGCCCACACCACACGGACGAGAGTGACGACAAAACCGGCAAGGGTGGGAAGGAGCCGATCAGTCCTGACCAGGCCATATACGGAATGTTCGGGCTTGTGCATGTGCACTGAGGAATAAAGTTGGGGTTTTAACACCGACAGGTCGAGACCCAGGTTCCGGAAGACTTCTCATCCGGCACAGTGTCCTCGTCCCCGACATCTGTGGTTACCCCGAGCCCCACCGTTGTGGCCCCGCCAAGCTTTACGCCTGACAAGGTTCGGCTTTGTTTGCAGGGGTCGTATAGTCTTTAAATAGGACCATACATTCCATTGCAAGGTTGATCGTGCAGTGACAGTGACAGTCACGCCCGCTATGCAGCGGGAGAAGGCGGCAAGCAAGAGGGTGAAGGGCCGCCGTGGTCCTGGCAAGCGGGGCTCAAAGTGCAAGAGGGTGCGCAAGGCCAGGGATTCCGGTGCCCGATCCAGCAAGGACATTGTGGATGTGGGTGCTGATGAGGCCCTTGTCAAAAAGGGCGCGGCCAAGGCTACGGCGAAGGCGAAGGCAAAGTCGAAGAAGGAGAAGCCGGTGCCGGCCCCGGCCGATGGTGCGGCGAAGGATGAGCCCCGCCCCCGCAAGGGCCGGAAGCCCAAGGTGCCGGAGGGCGAGTCCCCGGATCACGATGTGCAGCGGCACATCTGGCTGTCGGAGACGAGGTGGGTGTACGAGATCCTGCCGAACCAGAAGTTCGGGTGTGGCGGATGCCGTTTCCTTTGGTTTGGCTGCAAGGCCTGCCAGAAGGAGACTTTCAGGGGCCGCAATTGCGAGCAGATGAAGGAGGACCCAGCTTACTTGGAGGGCCTGGCTGCAGCGAGCGGCGAGGCTCCCGAAGCGACCGAGGAGATCCCGGCAGTCCGCGCCCCAACCCGTGCGAAGAAGGCCAAGAAGGCCAAGAACTCCCCCAAGGGTGACGTGTGATGCCCCGCGGTATCTTCGTGCAGCCGCCAAGCCAGGCGATGTGGTTCAAGGTAAAATGCATGAGGTGATGTAGGAGTTTAAAAAAGGATTCTCTACATGGTGCTGGGTTGTTATAGGGTTCAGGGAGTCAGGGGCTTCATATTTACGGTGTTCGGTTCGTGGCTTCCACGCACCATTGTCACAATTGTCTTTCGGATGTGAGCTCTCCCTATAGTGCATTAGGCCTCCACTACCGGCTACCGCAGTGCATCCACGCATCGTGAGAGATGTCAAGATGTTTCTGGGCTATCGACACCTTAGCTATATATGTCTACAGTCAAGCATTGCAGCGCTTTTCACACGACCTCCCATGTCCCAGGCATGGCGGCTCGCGAGATGAAGCATCGATCGTCGCCTTCAGATGGCCACTCAGATGTTGTTTTCACAGCACATGAGCTTCAATAGTGTTTTGCTAGCAGGGACATCCTTGCTAGCAGGGGCAATGCCGAGCATGGCAAAGATTGGGAACATACATAAATCTGCACACTTTGTGGGGTGCAACTTTCACAATGAGCTGAACCAATCGGGCCATGCCGGCATCAAGCGATTTCTTGCGTAGTACGGGGAAACTCCTCTTTATGTGTTGCTGGCTGCTCGACCGGCCGATCTTGCGCAGAACCACGAAGCAGCAAAAGTGAGTGTGTCCGTGCATTGCAAGCAAGCCCAGTCTGGAGAAAGCTTTGCGGGAATCATGGCCTTATCGGATCATCTTATTCGAATATCTCCCACCCTGCCTTCGCGACAGGCTGAGCTGCTGCACATCGTCAATGAGAACCTGGCGCCAGCGGGCGAGATGGTGCGAGGAGGCTTCGGGTGCGCCCTTCCCTATAACATGTCTGCTCGAGTTTTCACGACAGTTATTGCTTGCGTTTTGGCGGGACATGCTGCCTATGCTCGCTGTGGTGTGTGCTGTGAGCATTCAGAGGACCTCCAGCATTTGGTTTCGAGCGAGTTAGGAGCCCAACCCCCTGTGCCCGACTAATGGCGATGTCTAGTGCTAAGCTACATTGGCTGCTTCATCGGCTGTGGGCCATGGGTGCTCCTGGGGCTCTTTGCCAGCACTCAGCTTTGTAGTGAATTTTTCGAATTGAAGCGACCTCTAGCAAAGCCTGAATCTTCTCAGCCCTGCAAAGGAGGACTACCCCAGTAGCATTTCATCAACAGTAGTCGCAGCTGTAGCGCAATAGCAATTAGAGCACCNNACTTCGAGTTATAGTGTTATCACTATACATAGCAGATGCTGCGACAGCAACCGCAACACCAGCAACAGGAGCAGTATCAGCAACAAGAACGATAACCACCATCAACAACACGAACAACACCATCGCCACTGACGGCCATCACAAGGAAACCAGCTATAGCATGAACAGCCACCGCCACCACGACCACAACCGCAGCAACAGCAACAGCAACAAGAACAACAGCACCAACAAACGAGACGACAAGAGGGGAAGGGGTACTGCTGCTAAAATATTATGTCAGAACAAAGCTCTCTGTTGACAGACTTTGGGTGTGATCGCCACCACCACCACCACAACCAATACCAGCACCCCCACCCCCACCCCCACCACCACCACCAACAACACACCACCACCAGCACTATACTACTGCAAAGGATTTGTGTGACGTCAAAGCCACATCTCGTTTATTTGGGTCATCGTGTCTTGCACCAGACAGATCGACTTCATGTCGGCTTGGCCCGGGGATCCTTTCTGAGGGTGTCGAGAAGTGGTTGGGGATTTAAGGGCTTCTACAGGGCTTTTGAGTTTCGACTTTATATAGGCCTTAGATCCCCTAAAGCCCCACATTATCTAGAAACCCTAACCCGAAGGTTGTGGATTATCTAGAAAGCCTAACCCCAATGTTGTTGGATTTGCTAATAGAGTGCAGTGCATGAAAGAAGCATTCCATGTAATGGGAAAGTGCAAAGCATAAGCCCAAGACATATGAACCCCGTGCCGACTACAACAGCCTGCTGCACTTCCAACTCGTCGCATCGGGCGAGTCCTGTGATGTGAGGCTTGCAGGTTGTTCTTCAGACGGTTACACAAAGGGAATATCATAGCAGGGTTTTATTTATTCACTTCAGCGCTTGTCAGGTCTTTGATCTTGGGTTTCAGGATTGTCGAGTCTCAATGCATGGCGGCTAGCAGGGTCTGAGTCGGTGCCGACTTGGATTCGTGCAGGTTGGTTATAGAAACAACCAAGCGAAGCAGCGCTGTGTCGGGTCCGGGATTTATAGGAGCCTGATGCAACCATAGCAGGGGCAGCATAGCAGTGGTAGGAGTACTGGAGTGTTGTTTTGCCAAAAGTCGCCCAAAACTGCGGACCGGAACCCTATATAATTTCTAGAAACCCTTTACAAACCCTAAACCCTTATAACCCTATAAGCCCTATAAACCCAAAGCCCTACAAACCCTCAACCCTAAACCCTAAACGCCATAAACCCTAGACCCATGAACCCTAAACCATACTACTACTACTACTACTACTACTACTACTACTACTACTACTGCTACTACTGTTACTGCTACTACTACTAGTACTTCTTCTTCTACTGCTACTG